ACCTTAGCCTTAGCGTGGTTGAATGAGATGCCACACATGAAGGTGAAGCACTGACTTAGGTCAGGGGTCGGCAAACTGTAACCTATGGCTTGTTTTCCTATGGCCTGTGAGCCAAGAATGATGTTCAGATTCTTAAAGGGTATGATAAATAAAGAATATGCAATGAAAACTATGCATGTCCCACGAAGCCTAAAATATTTACTATCTTGCCTTTGCAGGAAAAGCTTGCTGATCCCTGGCTTAGGTGCTAGGGTGCTGCTTAGACAGTGAGAAAAAACAGCCATGGCAGCTAGCACATGACGCTACCAGTGGGGATGAACAATGCTCACAGAATATAAACAATATTTAGACAAGGCCACTCCGTGCTGTAGTAGAACAAAACAGAGACAAGAACACTCCAGGATTGTACAAAAACGAGATAGAGGACAAGGACACTCTACAACTCACCCCAAACAAGTAAACCTTCCTCTCTGCTCTTCCAACTAACACAAAAGATTGTTACTTCTTACTGATTGTTACCTGGTCTCTGCTTCAACCCTCCTCCCTCCTAATTAAAAATTACCAAGGCACCCAGTCACTGAATTATGCACCTATCCTGGTAGCAAAACCTCTTTTGCTTCCTCTTTTGAATCCTCCAGCAGTGGCCAAATCCTAAAAGAGGCCCCTCTCAATTTTCCATCACTAACATACCCATGCATCTGTGGAAATAAACAAAGATCACCCAAATGAGGACAAGCAGAGACTATTTATTCAGAACCCCCTATAACAAAGGAGTCAGCTGCCATCACTTGCATTTGGCAGAGTTTATGGAAGGCAGGGGAGTGGAAAGCTTTATAGAGAATAAAAAGAAAGCTTCACATGTGCCTGATTGGGTCTTGGGAAAGCTATAAGTAGGCTAATTAGAAGGCATCCTATGTGATTGTTTAGGGGAGAATATTTGGCTTTCTCTGGTTGTTCCTGAGTTGACAGTGGGGGCAAAAATCAAGGAAGCTGCTAGCTATTCATCAAGTGTTGGGTGTTCTGGGCTGATTGCTACATGGGTTGTGGTTTGGCTTCCTGGGCTGGTTGCTGCAGAGGTGTAGGTCAGGTCCGTTGTGGGTAAAACAACACCCACTAAGTTTAAGTTGATTTGTTTGACCACAACAGATCCCTGGTGGTTGTTGGTTACTGGACTTGGACAACTGGATGAGTGCATCTGGGTTTTGTTAAATTCATTGAAGCCTTAATAGAAGAAAATGATATGCTGGTATCAACCAATTGTGGAAAGGCGGAGGCCTCGGAGGCGGGGGAGCTCAAGGGACCCATGACCTTCCTCAGCCAGGGCAGCGTGGAGATCTACGATCTCCTCAGGGTGATGCTTGTCCTCCTGGAGGCCTGCCACCTATTACCATCTCCAGATCAATGACCAGGATCAGGTCTCAGGGCCCTGCAAACACAAGGACAGAGCAGATCCTGGTCACCGTTCAGTTGAGTGTTCTGTACCCTTTAAGTATGCATCAGCTACTTCCAACAGCTGGAATTTTGCCTTTTCTTTCACTAAAGGTGATTCTTTAAAAAAAAAAAATGTTTACTTTATTTTTGAGAGTGGGGAGGGGCAGAGAGCGAGGAAGACACAGAATCGGAAACAGGTTCCAGGCTCTGAGCTGTCAGCACAGAGCCTGAAGCAGGGCTCAAACCCACAAACCGTGAGATCATGACCTGAGCCAAAATCAGATGCTTAACTGACTGAACCCCCCAGGTGCCCCTCACTAAAAGTGATTCTTACAGCAGGGGGAAGCAATTTTTTTTCCATAAAGGACCAGGTAGTAAATAGCTTGATCTTGGCAGGATTTGAGCTTGGTTGCCCCTCCTCAACTCTGCCACTGAGGCAGCCACAGGCAACACATCAATGAATGGCTGTGGCTGTGTTCCAATAAAACTTCAAACAAGCAGTGTCCAGTTTTGGCCCACAGGCTGTGGTGTGCCAATCTCTTAGATAATCATTCTGCCTCTGAGGTTTCATTTCTCCACTGAGAGAATGAGAGTGTTGATTTCACGCAATGCTTCTCACACTGAAGCAAGCATTAGAATCATCTGGAAAGCCAGTGAAAACACGGATTCTTGCACATGACTCCCAGAGATTCTAATGCAATGAGTCCGGGGGAGACCTGGGGATTTGCATTTTGGACAGACTCGCAGATGAGGCTGATGCTGCTGGTCCCGGGACCATGCTTGTAGCACAGGTTGGAGACCATACTTGTCATCCCTGCTGCAGAGGGGATTTTCTGTAAGAACTGATGCCTGAGACCAATTGAGTTAGAAGTAGAATCAAGTTTCTGGGCGTTTTAGAAGTCCCCCCCAAAGATTCTAATATGTAGTCAGGGTTGAGATCCACCGGTGGAATGGGTCTCCAAAGCTCTGCACTCCAATTGTGGCTCCCCAACCAGCAGCATCAGCATCACCTGGGATTTGTCAGAAATGCAGAATCTCAGGCCCCTCCTTGACTGAATGAATCAGAGTTTGCATTTTCACAAGATTCCCAGCTGATTCATGTACACACTGACGTTTCAGATATGAAACTCTAAAGGAAGGGACCGGCTTACACTTACAGGTTTCTTTTTTTCCTGCTATGTGCCAGGCACTGGGTGGCCTCCTTACCTCACTTTCTCCTAAACTTGCCTGTATTCATTTTCCACTGCTGCCCTAACAAATTACATGGACTTAATGGCTTAAGACCATACCCCTTTATTATCACACACTTCTGTAGATCAGAAGTATTTCAGAGGCAGTTGAGCTCTTTGCTTAGGGTCTCCCAGGCCCAAATTGGGGTGTTGGTGGGGTGGGGTTGGGGAAGAAGTCACTTCCAAGCTCATCCCAGCTGTAGGCAGAATCTAGTTCCTTGTGGATATAGGATCGTGGTCCCTATTCCCTTCTGGACTGTTGGCCAGGAGTTGTTCTCAGCTTCTTGAGACCACTCTGAGTTCCTTTGTATGTTGTCCCCTTCCTCTTGCAAGAGAGCAGCTATGCATCAAAGTCCTTCTTATGCTTCTAGTTTCTCTGATTTCCCCTCTGTTACCAGCTAGAGAAGATTCCCTACTTAAATTTAACAAACTCACATGATCAAATTAAGCTTACCTGGATGATCTCCATTTTTAGGAACTCAAAGTCAACTGATTAGTAAACTAAACAACATTTCCCACATCCCTTTGCCATGGGCATGATATCCTATCATGAGTCACAATCCGGGGTGTTAGGGCTTAAGATCCAGGGGGTCAGTAAACAATTCTGCCTTCTACACTGCCCAGACCACATGGCTTACAAATAACTCTTAGAGCCAGAATTTGAATCTAGGTTTGTCTGACCCCCAAACTCATAGTAACACTGTTTTGTAACTTGTCTCTCAGTGGGGAAAACAAATGTGTTGCAGAGAACTTTATAGTTAACAATGAGCATTCTCATTTATCGTATTGTTTGGCCTCATAAGAAACTCCAAATGGGGCACTGTTATTCCTTTCTGTGAATGATGACACTGGGGATTAAGAATGCCTATTTGTTCAAGACACTATAGCCAGAAAATAGCAAATTAAGGACTGAAGAATAGCTCTCTTGATGCCAAATCCCATACTTTTACCTTTAAATCATCACAATCCCTTAATTTCTTGTTCAGATCATTCTCATTATCTAATTGAGAAACAAATTTACTGGGGCAGAATAAAGACACTAGAAGAGCACTTCCAGATTGGATGCAATGTTTGAATGATACAGTGGTTCTTGTGCAGAAAAATGGGCCCACCTGTTAGGCTAATTGAAGATGAATTCTACCCAAATGCAGAGAAATGCTCCATTCAAGTCCTAAAACTTACGTTCTTAAAGAAGATAGTCGATGAATTCTCAGACATAATGTAGAAAACAGTCAATTCATGAAACAAAAACCTTTTACTGAAATTGCAAGCCAATCAAGTAATTGTTTGTGAGAAACAACAGGATTTTGGATACATCTCCTTAGTGATTAGGGAGTTGGCCCCTCCACAGAAAAAGCTTAAGAGATCATAGAAACATCCTACTGCCAGTGACTATCTTCATTTCATTCCCTTGTTTCTAATGCAGAGAAAACAATGTAGCTTGAAAGAATGGAGCCACAATTAGAAAGCTAGGACTCTTTTGGAGGTCAGAAGGATGGTACGTGTTAAGCTTTTCCTGGCAGGGTCAACTAGGACGCAAGCCTACAGAGTATCTCTTAGCTGAGCCCCCATACACTTTAATCATTTTTTCATCTCCTCTTGGGGCAAAATTTGTATCTAGTGAGAAACTATCCTTACACTGCCAGCTCAGAAGTTATTTTATGTTAAAGAATGGCCGATCATTTGTTCAAAAAAAAAAAAAAAAAAAAAGAGCTAGAAATTCAATTGTATCCTGGGCCGGTTTCCTTGTCATCATTTACAGATGCAAAGAGCTTTGTTATAATCTGGGATTCAGTCTATGATTTAAACAAATTATGAAAAGAATTAGGCCTCAGTCAGGTCAATTTTATTAAAAGCCTTCAGATCTTGGAGGATCAATGAATGTAAGAGATAGGTTAACCCCAAGGGCTTCTGGTTGGTGAATAAACACATCAAAGGGAAATCACATTGTTCCCTTGGCCAACTTCTGACATTGCTCTATTCAGTTGATTTCAAGAGATGTGGAATGATAAACATGAACAGGTTACAAACATGGAACTCTTTCATTATATCCATTTAGCTGGGAGTTTTCTCCCTTTATTTTTCATGAGGTGGGTTATTTTAATAGTAAATGCTGATATCAACAGTCAATATTGAATCTGTAATCTCCAATACAGTCTTTCCTAAGAGGGTATTTCTAACATATTTGATAGAAAGCACTATCTGTCCATGATTTACATAGACCACTGTGGTCTCATGGGAGAAAAGGTGGATATAAGGAAGAGCTGGTAAGTCATTTTGGGCTCTTTATGTTGGTATGAGAGCATTTGGTCTTTTCCAACCTTTTTTTCTTTTTTGGAGGGAGAATTGGTTGTGAGAACAATGTGGATACTGATGGAGAAAATACAAGGTAGGCCAGAGTGGTGAGTATCTATGTGACAGATGGTGGTGGAGATATCATTATTTGAGAATGTGCATATTCATGCTTAGTAGTGGATATGCAAAGATAATTGAGACGTGGTCCCCTCCATCAATAATACAATACTGATCAATTAACATTCTGGAATCAATATTCTAGATTTGGTCGTTTAGGGAAGGCCATATGTACCTCCAGTGCAGTCATTTAAACAAACGCACAAAGTGGGCCTTCTCTCTAGGATACTTCTGATGAAATTGCTTCTGAAGGTTGCAAATTGGTGCTCAAGACCCTCCTTAAAAAACAGTTTCGGACATTCATTCAGGAAATCAAATGCAAAAACTGTCACATTTATTTGGGTTTTATTTATAGCAGGGAGAAGAACTAATAAACTGACATAGCATTTGTTCCAAATCTAAACCTGATGTCCCATTTGGGGAAGATCTGTGTCAACTCCACTCTGATAAATCAGCAAAAACAGAGACAAACAAAAAACCAGCCCAGTTACCAGCAGTGGCCCGTGAACCAGTGGCCAGTCAATATAAGAATCAGCTGGCTCTTCCTCTTCCTGGATCAGCCTTCCCCTTTCCAACCAGGGGTTTTTTGGTTTCAATCTCCTGAGTCAATTGCTTTGGGGGAGGGGAGGTCTTCAAATTGCATTCTGTGTCACTCATTTCCCTTTCATATAGATTTTTCTCTTCTCTCCCTTCCAGGCCATTGATTTTCTTCCTTGGGTTTCTGAGAAAGCTTTGCTCCCTAGGCATCTTTATCCGGCTTGCTGACCGAAGCATTATTCACACTTCTCCTGTGGCCATGAGGGTGAGACACCTGCTGCTAGGGACTCCAGGCTCCTACCTCTGAAGGACAGTGGACTAAATTTCTGACAGGGGCCATGAGACACCTTTGAGGGAAAGAGATGTAAGAGCTCTGATCTCTGAGGACATAAAGCCTCTCACAGGTGCTTGCTTTAGTTATCACTGCCTTTTAGATGGCATTTTCCATGAGGTTCTAAATTCTTCATCATTCTTCGCAGACTGGGAATGGGCTCAGAGGGGAAGTCGTGCCCCCTTGTGAAGTGTACTAAGGGGTCTTCAGAAGGTCCCACCATGGCCTCCCACACAGCAAATGCATTACCTCTGTCTGTGAAGAATGGAAATGTTATGAATATCATAACATGAGGGTGAGGGTGATCTCTGAAATCCATTGTGAGCATGGAACTCAATGGCCATTATCAGAGATAACAATCGTTGGCATTATTCATATGTGCTTTACGGGCCATAAAACACACTTGGCAACACATCTCATTGGATTCTCACACTCTCGATGAGAGGTAGGGAAGGCATGTATCATTCTAATCTCATTTTACAGAAGGGAAAAAAGAGGCCCCGGGAGTGAAGCAATGAGGGGGACACCTTCATTGCTATGCTCCTGGGAAATAGGGGTGCTCTAGGAACCTCACCCTCTTGTATTCTAACAGCTGACTGAAAAGAGCCATCTTTCCCCTGTGACTTACACATGACTCACAGGTGTCTCCTTGTTTCCCTGTGAAGGGGCCAGACACAGACCCTCCAGATCCCTGCCTCATAAGGGATTAGGTATTTGACCAGTTGAGACAAAATACCTGCTAACTTGACTTGGTCACACTCTTACAGATTTCTCTCCTTCCTGGTTTAACCTTTGAACTTTCATCTCCGGACGTTGAGTCAGCATCAGGGTGTGGACCAGCTGCTCTCTGAGAGGGGGCTGATTTCAGGGAAAGACATTTCCTGATTAGCTATCTGATCAAGCCATCCATTCATACCACTCCCTACTCCTGGTTCTTCTAGACCAGCTTACTCCACCCAGGAAAGAAAATTCCTTTTTGCCCAACCTTTGAGAGGATCTTAGGTCAGAGTGTTGCAACAGTCTTTTCGAGTGAAGTCCCCCTTCATCTAAGTCTTTGTATGTGATGTGGCACAGGCTAAGGATCAGAGAAAGCTTCCTGCCACCCAGTCTTGGTCACCCTCATGGTCTGACTGTTGCACCTGCCGGGGTGGGTGGTTGAATTGTGGCCCTGACTCTGGGCCCTGCCTATTCCAAACTTGGTTCCCATGGCTCACTTGGGGGTCTTGCAGCATGGTGCCTTGCAAAGGTCTCTGGAATACAGCTCTTTCATGAGAACCGAGGAGCAATCTCAAAGGACATGGGTGCTCCAGGGAAGACTTATGCTGCTGTGTTTATACGGGTGTCTTACGTGAACCTGAGAATAAGTTGTCTGTGTCCCATTAAGAAGTGAGTTAAAGGGAGGAATGGACAGGAATTTGGGATGGAAAAATGAGACATCTTTCCAGTGGTTATGTTTTGTTTGAGATGAATACCAGGGATGTCAGGCATTCTTATTTGGAGATGGGTTTAAAAACAATCCAAAGCAACACTGTTCTGTTCAGCTCAAAGAGCAGTGCTGGAACCACATGTGCATCAACATGCCATTTAGAGATGCTTGAGGTACAGAGATGGACAGATCATCCTTGCCCTCAAAGGCTTTATGGTCTCGTGGAGGATTCATACATGGCCCAGACTGGAGAAGCAAGTGCATAATTACCTGCAACCTGGGCTTTGGTACTTGGTACTTGGTACTTTTTGGTACTTGGCTAATGGTCTCATAACTGTGTAGCTTGTTGGCCCGCTTTTTTTTTTTCCATGACACCAGCTATAGTGGAAGGACTTCATGTAGAAATTCTGAATTTTATTATTGTATCACTTTATAATGAGGATAATCTGTGGGCTTTGCAGCCAGTAGTTCTTTAGCTTGTTGATTCATGTGTGTGGCTACAGGTCACCACCTGTCCTGTACTCTCAAGTTTGCTCTGGAGAAAGCTTCTCTATGAACCACCTGCAACATTACCTGCTTTTGTGGCTGGATTCCTTAAAATTCAATATATTCTGAAGGATGTGATCAATAAGCAGATGGTTCAAGCCCATACACTTGCCAAGAAATGAGGCATCTAATTAGCAGTTAGACCAGGGTGTGAGGCAGTTGCAGAAGGGGGGGGTGGAACCCCTGCCTGGGCTGGGAGACCCCTGGATAAGACAATCAGGGCTGGTGGTGTGACATGTCAACACAAGGTAGTTGTTGGAAGTGAGAACACAGCCTGGACCTTCAGGCTGTGCTCATTAGGGCTTCGCAGAATTCCCAATTATCTTTTGACCTGGCCCTGAGCTAGGCCCCTTTTCATTGCCCTGAAAAAGGAGTCAATGGATCAAAAAGAACACCCAATTTGAAATTCTACATTGGTTTGGCTCTGAAGCTAAGTTGGTAGAACACAGAAAAGGGGCATTGTCTGCAGCCAGCGACGGTAGCGGGAGGAGGAGAGGCAAGATGGAGGCAGAGGCAGCTGTCCGCAGTGGGGCAGTTTGGGGCCCTGCACAAAGGTAGGGAAGAGACAGTTTGGGGGAAGAAGCCAACATACCCCCTGTGATGAATCCCTGAGGGATAGATATTTCAGTTAATCTATGAGTCCCACTGAACATGTCAAGAGAGTGATGACTCCTTTCCATTCTCATCCCCTTGTCTCTTGGCTAAGACAGTAACAGATAAGGACTTTTCTCTCCTCTGCACCTGGGAGAACCCACTGCTGAGTGTCGCCTGGCACCAGAGGAGAGAGCTGAGCTCACTGTGAGCCTCCTGTGACAGGTGGAATATACTACTCCCCTGTTACCAGCCTGATGTTCCCTAGTTGACTTTTTTGTTGTGTTTCCAGTGTTTTCCCAGGTAGAGCCTACATGATGTTTCTAACATGAAATGCAGACTCTGAAAGAGAAGAAAGTATCTGGAGTCTGGTCTATCCTATGACAACTGTCCTAAAGCTCCAATTAAGACAGAGAAGGTTAAGACTGTACCTGTGGGAAGGGATGTATCTCTCAAGTCCATTGACACAGCCTTGTGAACTAGGGTGAGCACCTTGACAACAAATAAACATATTAAAAACAATGTCAGTGCAACTTTTCTCTTTCTCAATCTGCTTTCCTTTTTTCCTTGTCATGCAAGAAGCTGAGAGAATAAAATCAACATTCTTTGGTTCTTGGGCTGGGGAAAAAAGACAATTGGTTGGATTCTGGAGGCACACAAGTGACTATATCTAAGGTTGTACTAACCAACTACAGGTAATAAAATTATATTCATTATGATGGTTAAATTTATGTGTGTTGACTTGGCAAGGCCATAGTGCCCAGTTGTTTGGTCAAACACTAGATATTGCCATGAAGGCATTTTTTTTAGATGTGATTCACACTTAAATCATCTTTGAGGAAAGCTGATTACCCTCTATAATGTGAGTGAGCCTCATCCAATCAATTGAAGGCAAGAGTGAAGACTCAGGTTTCCAGAAGAAGGAATTCTACCTCAAGACTATAAACATAGAAATCTTGCCTGAGTTTCTAGTTTGTAGATTTTGGAATCAACATTATGACATCAACTCTTGCTTGAATTTCTAGTTGCTGGCCTGCCATTTGGATTTTGGACTTGTCATCAACCCCACATAATCCCATGAGCCAGTTCCTTAAACTAAATCCCTCCCCCCCCCCCCGCCCCTCTATATATATCCTATTGTCTCTATTTCTCTGGCGACCTCTGACTAATACACTCATTCTGTCTATTCCAGATGAAGTGCTCTCGCTGGCCAGACCCATTGGCTAACATTCTACTCTAGTTGCCTGCAAACATGAGATAGTATGTTCTATTTCCAAGAATGGAGTAATAGAGACTACTTTTCCCCCTCCACCTCCCTGTTCCCCTATCTTCTGTCCTTATTTTAATCTTTCCAACCTCCTCTTATGCTCCAAGAATGTTACCTACATTATACTGTTATCGCTATAAAATTAAATAAAGAATGTCTAAGAATATGCAGATAGTTCAAATCAAAAAGCTACCTTTCTTGGCCGTAATTTATGGGTACAATTCCCTTCCTTGAGATCTTTACTAAAGACTTTTCTGGAAAATGTTACCCTACTATTCCTGACAGCTCTTGGCCAAGTTGCTGATTTATTATTCTAGGTGGTTTTGACATGGCTTAGAATGTAAAAGTACCATCTTTTAATATGTGCTTATTTGCAGAGGACCCACAGGTCTTAGCCCATTTCTATACCTACAGTTGGGTTTGCTCTCATTTAAATGCTAAACATCTCAGTGGCAGTCAGGCATTGGGAACACTGTAAGGGATGATGTATCAAAACAAGGGGTTCCACTTAGTGTGATTTTGGGGTCACTATCCACATCATAGAGGAAATGGAGTGACATACCCATTTGTGGAAGGAACACAATGAAGCTATATAATTCCTCTTATAGGTTGGTTGGTTCTGTAACCAAGCCTTAAAATTGACATTGACATTGAATCACTGCCCACGAAAGGAGAATGAAAAACCACTTAAAATCTCCCTCTAACAAACCATCCATGTCTTAATTCAATGGCCAGTGATGCCAGCCCTTTAAATGTTCAAATGGGATTCTGATAGTTACTAGGCATACTACAGGGAGATGTTTAAATTAAATGAGTGGCGTACAGCATTGGGGAAAAATATAAAATATTAAATGTAAACCAAGTATATGGATCAAATACAGAAAGCAAGCAGATATGAAAGAATAAGTGCTGCATTGGAATTGTTTTGCTATTTCAGTTTGGTCATTTAGCTTTTGGGATCAGATAACAGGATATATTAATTTTTTTTTTACATTTTAATTTTTGATGAAATGCATATGACATGAAATTTTGTTTTAACCATTTTTAAGTGTATACTTTAATAGTGTTAAGTATATTCACATTGTTCTGTAAACAATCTCCAGAACTTTTGCATCTTGCAAAACTGACACTTTATACCCATTGCACTACAATTTCTCTCCCTCAGTCCCTGGCAACCAACATTCTACTTTCTGTGTCTTTGAGTTTTACTACTTTTGATACCTCATATAAGTGGAATCTTACAGTATTTGTCTTT